GGGGGGTGGTCTGCAATGTATCCCCACGAAGAATGAAGTAAATTTTTTTATTGCAACCGCTCAGAAATAAAGTCAGTCAGGAATCGTGACTCGGGACTGCTCGTTCTTTCCTCCATGAATACAAATGTAAGAAGGTTCACTGTGCTAAACTTTACAAGCTTGGAGTTGATCTTTTTTTTTTTAAAAAGGGGGGAAGCTTTCTGAAGGACAAATGAGAAAGGACGGTCGGTCTTTGAGACAAATTGAAGAAGAGCAAATGTGTGTTTCTTGCTGATTACATGGCCATTAATTTGGATCGCTGAGACAATCCCTGTTCGAGTTTGTGCAAGAGATGTTTACCAATTCCATTTACTCCCCAAAAAGTCTATTAAGGAAGTTTATCTTTTGCAATGAATCAAACTTAAAAGTGTTTTGCGAAGCACTTTTGGCAGTTTGACCTCCAGTGTTTTTTTTTTTTTGTCTCTGTGACAGCAAAATTTTGTCATATATTAAATTTTTGTAGTCATGCAGTTTCTTTCAAAGCAATGCAACTCAACCCGTCACCACGAGAATTTTAGCAGGAAACCATGTGAAAAATTACGCTCCCCCCAAAAAAAATGCAGCAGTCAAGTTAGCTTGGTTCACCCTTTCGGGGACAGCGGTTACTACAGTGGACAGCTTATCGAGTTCATCAGTTTACAGGGTGCATGAAAGGGTTAAGAAAGCCGTTTTTCGTCAGCGTCTTACAGCAAAACTCACGACGTCCTCAAACTTTTAGAAAAAGATCGACACGCGACCGTGGAGCCTTTTCTGCCAGATGTGGACGGAGTTGCAACGGCTCCAAAATGTGAACTTGTTCTAATACGATCTTAGCTTGCCTAGCATATGTAACAACGTGTGACTCCACCTTCTTCAATCGGTTCAACTCGTACGTGTGCCAAGGGTGCTGTAGATAAGGAAGGCCAGAGCGAGAAAAAAAGCCAAAGAGGCCTCATCCAACAGTCTGTACAAAAATCATGAAAATATGTCAGCGGAACGAACTGAAGGGGTTCAAGGATTACTTATAGGGAGGACATTTTTCGAAAGAGCCACTTATTATCCTACCAACAATTATTCATAACTATTATCTGCATACCTTGAATGGAATGGGACATTTTTTTTGAGTGTTTCAACATTCACGCCCTGTTCATATGAAAGGAACTAAAACCTGATTCAATTGGCGCTGCTTCCTTGCTTCAGTAAACATGAGCTCATTTCGTGTTGCCAACTGAAGCGATTTTGGTTGCTATATTTAGCGATTTTATTATTATTTATTTTCCTGAATGCTCTTTTGTCAGAAGAGTGATTACACATCTTTATTCCCGCTAAGACGCGGACAAAAAAAAAAAATGAGCGGAATTATTTCCACAATTTGTGTATGCCATGAAAGGAGCCCGGCGGAAGACGATCACGTTGCGCTGAACATTGCCAAAAACAGATTTAAAAGAAATGATTTCGCCGCATTTTGGAAACTTTTGACCTGAGGTATGTGCTACCAAGCAGTAAACATTTTGCTGAGGTCGCCTTGTCTCATGGCTGGGATGTCAGATTTGTAATACATGACACTCATATGAGAGATTTAAATGATTGCAGACTTCAAGTCGGTCGTAAGTGTGTTTTGATGGCAAGTATACACTTATCAAAAAATACAAAAGTACACGTGGTAATTGTTTTGCGGACTCCATTGTTAAAACTCAGGGACTCCGAGAGGTCCAGGGACCAGCACGAAACTCCAGCCAATTTTTATGAGTGTTAAAGGTACTTGAACTTGTGACAATTTTTTTTTTTTCGGTCCACTGCGTGTTTATACAACAACTAATTTTCCTCGCCACTTTCCTCTGTGGTTGCTTCAACAAACTGTCATCTAGCATAAATTTTGAGCTTTTGTTTTTACCACCCCGAAGTAGATCTCCACTGATGCTTGAAGGAAGCACATTATCTTGTCTTTTTACGCATCTTCCTCAAAGCTGGGTAGTAGAATTTTTACACCGTGTAATGGCAGGACTTGCATCGCATTTGTCAGCTATGAATTGATCACAACAATAGACTGGAGATGCTCTTTATGCCCAACTTAGCGTGTAGAGTTTGCTACAATCTTGCAGTAGCACACAAATAACCAGAGGTGGGAGGAAGTCTTAAGTTTCAAGCAAGTGCCCAGTCGCTTGATGCGCCTTTTACTCTGAGGCGCCTTATAGTGCGGAAAATACGTGACTTTCTTTCCAAAAACAAAACAAATGGCTCGTTTTCTTGAAAATGTCGATGATCTATTTTCAACAGGCAAGACTTGGTAAGTCTTCCAAGTTTCTACTTCCAAGTTTCAGTCAAATTGAGTCTCTTAAATACCAACTCAATGTCAACAGTTTTTTGTAAGCATTAGCCAAGCGAATCCGAAGCCCCAAAATTGGCGTCCCACACCTCTACTAAAAATCATGAGCTGGAACGAGTGAAAACGCTTGATTGAGTAAAAAAAAAAAAACAATGTTGACAAGTGGCAGTGCCTGTTTCTACACTGATATTCTGACATCGGCTTGTTAGAACAACCGCCGACGTGACACGATGGATTATCTGCATGTATTCAGAGCACTCTGCAGATTCGCTCCCAAAAATATGATGGAAACCCAGATTAATTGCTATCAATGTCCTTGCAGGACGTGACACCGTGAGACATCACATTATGCACGCCGGCGGCGTCACTTCAGAGAGGGAATCGTCCTTTTTACATTTCCATTTTTTTAATCGTTGGACATTGCAGGTCATTTGACGTACAAAGCGGCATCTGGCGTTGTTTGTGGTGGGCGGTTTCACGTTTTAAACATATCCGCTGGCAACAAAGCCCTTGCATAGAATGGGAAGATTGGTCAAAGGAAAGGTTTTATGTTTAGATACTGGTCGGAACTTAAGTGTATTGGTGTGTGTGTGTGTGTGTGTGTGTGTGTGTGTGTGTGTGTGTGTGTGTGTGTGTGTGTGTGTGTGTGTGTGTGTGTGTGTGTGTGTGTGTGTGTGTGTGTGTTTCCAAAGTGCATATGCGATGAAGACTTCCCACAATCTCCATGAACAATGCAAGTTAAACTTAACTCCTCCATGACAAACAAAACTTGTTTCTCAGTCACGTCATATGACTTCAACATACGCCCTCGGACCAATTACTGTACTACTTTCCTATTTGGACAGGGCTTTGTTGCCATCTTGTGGCATCTCAGGTGATTTCAAGAAGAGCGCCAAAAAAAATAGCATTAAAAAAAATGCAACGAGTGAGTTTTTCAGCGATGAGCCATTGTTTACAAGTCCACGAGCAACTGAGGTTCAATACAAAAGCTGCAACAAAACATGTCTTTTCAAATACCACAAAAAAAATAATAATAATAAAAAAGCTCTGTAAAGGCAGAATATGTTACAACTCTTGTGTTGGATTGTATTCGATTCTCCAGGAACAAAATGGCCTGTAAGTGTCTCGCCCTCACCAAGAAGCGACTATTACGTTTTTGTGTGAGCTGATGAAGAACAATAAATATTCAAAGCGCGAAAGTGTCTTCAAATGAGAAATGCTCAGTCTGGCCTCCGTGTGAGTCATTTCTTCTCCTCCTTCTTCTTGGGAGACAAACACTGAAAGCCGGCGTCCTTTTGTCTGGCAGAGGTGAAGTGAGGCAAAGGATGAAAAGGACGGACGATTCGTCCGAGTGCTTCATTGCCTTGTAAAATATCGCCGGCGTTGGATGGCGCTATGGTGGGGATGGCGAGGTAAAGGGTGGGAATCGCAAGTATTGGAATTGACGTGCGGAAAGGCTTCACAAAGTTAGCATTTTGGAGCTGATCACCAATCAATAAAAAAAAAAAAAAAAACTGATCAGAAGATGGACTCATCTATCCAATCGATTGAAACAACTTGTTTATTTTCTGCCCAATCGACCAGGCACACAAAGAGCCCAAAATTGAGGCCCATTGAAATTTTTTCCTCAAAAAAAAAAAAAAAAAAGAAAAAAGTAAACACATTTTGTCAAAAATGTGGTTAGGAACACAGAAAGCCATCTCCGATTAAAATTTGCTGTTGACCAGTGTTAGATAACGTTGACATAAATTCAGTGCTTAAGAGGTGCAGTCCACATGTCTCGATTTTATTGTTTCATGAAACATGAAAAGTTGACATGCTCAAGCTGAAGATGTCTTTGCATTATCGTTGCTTTGTGATTTACCGACTGACGTTAGCGTTGTGCCACTAAACGCTTCAAAGACTGCAAGCCAAAGTCTCGTGAGTCGACACCTCTGATTGAAATCGATAAACTGCCTTTCATTTGAATATATGGTTTATTTGCCCTTTTTTTTTTAAACATAAACTGAATATATAACACCCAAAATGGATGTATAATAAATCCGATGTTGTTCATTGTAATACGGATTCATGTATTGCCTGTGTTTGTTTGAAAAAAAAAATACATGGAAAAAGGACTTTGATATAAAAAAATAATAATATAATAATTGCATATTAAATCGCAATTGCAAAAAAAAAATAAAATAAAATAAAAAATCACAATTAGATAAATTTTCAAACTTGTTCAGCCCTAATTAGTGCTGTGCACATCACATCACACACTAGTCCTCCAAACATACCAGAGGAGACCGGCGCCCCTCATCCTGGCCTCTGTCACAATCACTTCTTGTCGCCAGGCTATGTGTGTGTGTGTGTGTGTGTGTGTGTGTGTGTGTGTGTGTGTATGTGTGTGTGAGACTCCCTCG